GGAAAAAAATATTCAGTTATTGCCACCATGGCATGTGATTTACTAATCCCTTTGATGATTATAGTTCCATCAAAGTCTTGCTTTAGTGTAGGTACTAGGGTGCTTGATGACAAGAATCTGCATGAACAATAAAAGCTTGAAGATGTGCATATGCTTGAAAGATTGGCTACATGACACTTCACCAGATGTTTCACTTGAAATAGATGATAATCACGGCCAAGGAGATGAAAGTGAAACTTGAAGAAAAATGATGAAGTTAATATTTTTTGTATACTCAATAATTGTATAGCAATTTTTAAAATATTGTAAATTTTGTTTTTTTCAATTTTATTTAAATTATTTGTTATTTTTTCAACAATGTAGTTTTTTATTTGCAATTTATAGTTTTATTATATTRTTTTTATATTTTATTTTATTTCCAATATTCCATTCATCCATTGTATCGTTCAAATTCAAATGAAATAAAATTTCTAATTTTTTCCAAGTTGTTGTCTATTTTGTATTTTGTTAAGTATTTTTTATTAAATATTTATTTTTTTCCAAAGCTTATATCACTTTAACACTTTACTTAGCAAAAAATGAAAAAAATAAAATGTCAAACGAACAAAAGATTGGCCCAGTTTGGTTCAAGCCAAGGGCCTGACCCCTAACCCAACCCAGCATGACCTATAGCCCGCCTAGCCTAGGCCTATGACATGGCATGATATAAGCATGTTTGGGCTTGTACATGGGTCGTATTAGACCAATATGTACTACTTATAAAAGTGTAAATGATGAGGTATTAGCTTTTGAAATTTTTCTTTACTAAAATACCCCTCCTCTTGAATTTAGTTCATCTCCATTGAAAGGGCAGAAAATGTAATTAAAAGAGTACAATTAAATACATTAAATTACCTCTCATTAAGCCTCACATTTAAGTCATTAAATAAATCACATTCTCTCTCATTGAATCCAACATTTATACTTTTGTTTATCATCATTAAATTCCACTAATAAATCCATACAMAATAATTATTAAAAGAATGAAATTATATATTTTTTAAATAAGCATATAAATGAAATCATATTTTTCATCTAGGTGGTGGRTAAGTAGTTCAACCGTTTGGGTCAAATGGATAATTTCTTGATGTCATAAATAAATAATGCAGATTTAGAAGTATAAAAAATACTTTTGTTTATCATCATTAAATTCCACTAATAAATCCATATATAACAGTTATTAATAGAATGGAATTTTATATTTTTAAAATAAGCCTAGAAAGAAAATCATATTTTCCATCTAGGTCATGGGTAAGTACTTCAACAATTTGGATCAAATGGATAATTTAATGATGTCATAAATAAATAATACAAATTTAGAAAAATAAGAAACAAAAAAAATATAAAAAAATGGACACATTTCTATTATTATATATTTGTCATATTAAAAAATAACGATGATAAAATAGACATAATTTTGTTAATGATAGACATCAAATATACATCTTAAAACCGATGGGAAATTAAACCATCTTCCTATCTAAGGGGTGGGTTAGTACTTCAACCATGATGTATAATTAAAAACAAGGTTCAAAATATCGATACGCCCGATACGCCGGTAGGGGTGTATCGGGCGATATCGATAGTGTTTTTTTTTTCCTTTTTTTATTTTTTTTTTCAAAATCAGTTCAAGGGACCGGTTTAAGGCTCCTCCACCCCCTAAACCGGTCAAAACCACGATATAGCCCCTATAGGGGCGTATCGGGAAGCCACTGGCACAATACGTATCCAGTCGATATGGGCCATACTTGAACCTTGATAAAAAATAAAATTTTTAAAATAGAATAGTACAAAGAAATATGAAACAATTTTGGGCACATCTATAATATTATATACTAATAATATAAACAAAAATAAGTATAATAAATAATAATTATTTTATCAATGATATAAATGAAATGCAAAATTTAAAAATAGTTTTAAAATGAAAGCATTTCCATATCTAAATGGTAAGTAGTCAATGATCTAAAATTATGGGTCAAATGGGTCAATTTATGATGTCATAACTAAGTAATGAAACATACATACATACATACATACATACATACATACATACATACATACATACATACATACATACATACATACATACATACATACATAAATAAACTCAAAGAAAAGAATAAGCTTTATATAAAGCATTTTGATACAATTTTGTGTTATATATTCACCATATTAAACAAAAGTAAATCGGAAAATAAGAATTATTTTTATCGATGATGAAAATGGAATACATGATTTAAAATCAACCGAAAAAGCAAAACGGTTTTTCCATACAAGTGTTGGGTTAGTGGTTAAACTATCAATGTCAAATGGATGTTATTATTAAATAATAAAATACATGAAATTTTATAAAATATAGAAATTTATCGATAATTTTGGGTACATTCTATAATATTATATATTCATCATATAAAAAAGTGTGACTAATGAGAATTATTTTCATTAATGATAGAAATGGGATACAAATTATGATAAAAAATAAAGAGCATTAATGTTTAACACATGACCCGACTAACCATGTCAAATGGTTCAATAATTTAATTAGCTAGGTCATCGTAGGCAAGTGGTTTGGTAGGGATGCAAACAGATCAGATCATATTTGAATTAAGGTATATTTAAATCTTATCTGATCCAAAGATTCGACTGGATCTCATAAATATTGATTTGAATCTGAATCCGATCAAGATGTTTTGAATCTGATACGATCCAATTTAATTTTTTAATAAATAAATAAATTATTAAAAGAAAAAGGAAAAACATAACAGTTGAAATAAAAAAAAACAAAAAATATAAGTATTTTTTAAACTATTTCCATCATATAAAAAGTTTACAAAAATGCAATATAAATAACATATTTATAAATAAATAATAAATAACATATATATTATACATAAATAATATATACTATATATATAAATAATTGATTTGACCATAATATTAACAACCAATGTTCAAACAATATATTGGAATTGCATTTCCGCTTGTTAAATAAGTAATTTTTACTATCTCATAAATTAAATAATAAAAAATAAAAATAATGATTTTTTTTATAAATTTTATAAAAAAAGTTGAACATATATTAATATTAAATATTCTTCATATTAAACAAAAATATGTCTGAAAAAATGAGAATTATTGTTAGTAAAGATAAAAAATGGTTAAAATACAAAGAAAAATTGAATTAATGTCTTAATCATAGTCCATTTTCTTGGTTAAATAGGTTAATGGTTCAACCAATAAGGTCATTTGGTTACTGATTATTATCATCATCATCATTTGATACTGTCACGTGAAAAAATAAATGCGGAAATAAGGATTACTTTTATTAATGATGAAAATGTAATACATGATTTAAAATCAACCGAAAAATGAAAAAATGGATTTTCCATCCAAGTGGTTGGTTAGTGGTTCAACTATCCATGCCAAATGGATTAACACATGATGTTATTATTAAATAATAAAATAAATAAAATTATAGAAAATGTATAAATTTATAGATAATTTTGGGTACATTCTATAATATTATATATTAATCATATAAAAATGTGTGATTAATGATACTTATTTAATTAATGATATAAATGGGATAAAAATTAGGAAAAAAAAAATAAAGAGCATTAATGTTAAACACATGACCCCACTAACCATGTCAAATGGTTCAATGATTTAATTAGCTAGGTCATTGTAGGCAAGTGGTTTGGTAGGGATGCAAATAGATTGGACTGCATTTGAATCCGAGTATATATATTTGAATTCAATTCGATCCGAAGATCTGATCAGATCTCATAAATATTGATTCAAATGTGAATCCGAACAATATGTTGTATATCTGAATCTAATACGACCCAATTTAATTTAAAAAAATAATAAATTATTAAAAGGAAAAGAAAATATAATAATTGAAACAAAGAAAAACAAAAAATATAAGTATTTTATCAACTAATTTCAACATATAAGAAGTTTACAAAAAATGCAATATAAATAACATATTTATAATAAATAACATATATATATATTATATAAATGATATATATATATAATTGATTTGACCTCAATAATAAAAACCAATATTCAAACAATATATTAGAATTGCATTTCCTCTTGGTAAATAAGTAATTTTTATTATCTCATAAATTAAATAATAAAAAATAAAAATATAGATTTTTTTTATATATTTTATAGAAAAATTTGAACATGCATTAATATTATATATTTTCATATTAAATAAAAACATGTTTGAAAAATAAGAAAAAATATTTGTAAAGATAAAAATGACTAAAATATAAAGAAAAAATGAATTAATGTCTTAATCATAATCAATTTTCCTGGTTAAATTGATTAATGATCCAACCATTAAAATCGTTTGATTATTGATTATCATTATCATTATCATCATTTTATATTACCATGTTATACGGATACACTTTTACTAGTCCTCTCAAATATCCCCAAGAGGGAAGCAATGCCTTAATTTTTCCACGAACCAGTAGTACAGCCCGATTTACTAAGTGAGGTAATGACCGGATGAGGAGTTGTTTTATTATTACGAAAAACTTGAGGGAATGACCGGACCGGAGGTCCGGTGCCCGATTTACACCTTTTGGCTTTTGCAATTTTAAATTGCATGATTATTTGAACTAATTCCCATAGTTTGTCCTATAAAAAGATTCCTATAATTCGAGCTTATTAGTGGTAGACTGGTAGTGTCCACTGAGGCCTCACGGCCGAGACCGAATCTGCCTCACATAAGGCGCTTCATACGCACATCACCCGTACTTATTATTACGGGAGATGTTTCAATGCACGGTGGATGTGCATGTGAGGCGCCTAAGTGTGAGGAGCATATCCCATTCCCTTACGGCCCTTAGATGCTTTCGAGTTTGTCAATAACGAATCCCAAGAGAGATCAACGGTTATAATAACCTTCAGCTGCAGATAGAATGATTTTCTGTCCCATGTCCCCAAATACACTCACTCCCCCATTCGGCCATTCCCTCTAAGAGAGGAGGAAAATAGGGGTGCTTCCTCTCTCCTCATTTTTCTTTATCCCTGCCTTCTGCCTACCAAATGTGAAAAGTTGGGAGCCGTTTGATCTTCGGAATCCCAATTCATAAATATGAACTCCAGGCGTCGTTCTCTCGCCGTTCGCTTTCCATGATCGTTTATTTTTTGTTCTCTCTTTACGGTTAGAAAGTGAGAAAGCAAGAAATGGAGCCACTACAAATCAAGGTCGCAGAGGCAGTTCGGGTGCTGAACCACGATTCAGAATCGTGCAACCGCGTTGCTGCGAATCAATGGCTCGTACAGTTCCAACAGTCCGACGCCGCTTGGGAGGTCGCTACTTCCATCCTCACCTCCGATCGTCCTCCTTTCCTTGGCGGCTTCGAAGTCGAGTTCTTCGCTGCTCAGATTCTCAAACGAAAGGTCTCTCTCTCTCTTTCCCTCCCCCTCGCGCGCGCGCGCATTACGGGCATTGTGAAATGTTAATGAATTCTGTTGTTCTAATTCCGGTTAATTGTTGAATTTT